AATTTCAGGTGCTTTACCTGAAGAATGTCACAGAGTACCTAAAGCCTCAGTAGAGGCATATAGAATTCTACTGAGGGGCTGCCCTCAAAGAAAGACTTTCAGAAACCTGCTTTGTACATTTTAAGGTTTTAATACTGCACAGAGACTGGATCTCTCAAACCATCCAGAAGAGAGAGTTAAAAAAAAAAGTTACAAGATTGTAAATGAGTACAATCTTTGTTTTGTGTGCTTTAGAGAAGGATTTAAATTGGGGAGGGAATCTATATTAAGTTCTGTGAAATGGAGTTGAGATCACACTCTCATTTGGTATTTTCTTTGAAAGCGGAAAAGCATCATCTCAACAGGCAGGAAACAGAAGGCCTCACAGCAACAAAGATCGTTATAAGAAGTGATAAATGAGGAAGGGCTATTTTGAGAGAGAGACAAATATTAGAACTTCAGCATAGGGCAAAATAATTTAGTAAATGAGACAATATAGTATAAGAACCATGGGTATATAAGTTCTGTGCCTTTAAAATGTCATGTTATTTAAAAGTTAATAAACCATGTAACCTAATCAGCCCTGGAGAATGGTCTCAGGTTACTGTCAGTGTATCCATTGAGGTAGATATCTTCACGGTGAATTTGAATGAGGATGATAAATAAGGTCACAAATAACTTATGGTACCTGAAAAAAGAGTGAAAACTTAATATACTGAGTTTTTTTGAGTCTGCATAGCAATGAAATACATGAAAACTAGAAGAATTACATGCAGTAAGAGAAATGACTATTTTTAAATGTAACGCAAGGTGGAATTAGCACACACATGGAGAGAGTTCGTCAGTAGGACTAAGAAAGATACTTTAAGACTAGATGGATCCTTAAAAAAAGTGATCAAGTGCAGGAAAATGTATTTTGTGTGAATAAATGCATTTGGAGAAATCGATGCAAGCTCTCCTAGGGATTCTGGGCTTTAGAATTACACCAGTAGCTTTCAAACTTAGTAGTGATCCACAGTAAGAAATAACATTTTATAATGTGTGTATACCTGATTTCTCAAAGATTTCTCAAAATAGTACTTCTCTGTACAATGTGTGATACGTTCTGCTCTATCTTATTTTTTGAGAAGCTGGTCATGACTCACCAAAATGATTTCCTGACCACTAATGGGTCATACTCTACAGTTTGAAAAAGTTCTGAGTAATAATCTAGGAAAGAAGGAGACGTGAGTTTTTTAAATCTCTTCCCTAAAGAAGCTGGCTGTTAAGAAACTACCTATTGGGGTCCGGCCCTGTGGCGTAGTGGTTAAGTGCGCACGTTCTGCCGCTGGTGGCCCGGGGTTCGCAGGTTCGGATCCTGGGCATGCACCACTGCACCGCTTGTCAGGCCATGCTGTGCCGGCGTCCCACATAAAGTGGAAGAAGATGGGCACAGATGTTAGCCCAGGGCCAGTCTTCCTCAGCAAAAAGAGGAGGATTGGCAGATGTTAGCTCAGGGCTGATCTTCCTCACCAAAAAAAAAAAAAAAAAAAAGGTACCTATTCTGTCCTTGTTTGAAACCATATTGGGTGCTATTTTAGGTATACCACAAAAAGGGCCCAAAGAAGGCAGCAGAAATGGATCTCAAGGTAGAGACTCCTGTCAGATTGTTCAGGGGCTTGGCCTTTGACTCTTCCTTGAGTCCTCTTGCTCTGGAGTTCAGGGCCATGTGTCTTTCTACTATAGTTATTTTGTTTGCTCCTAAACTCAGTACTATTTAGAATTTATAAACCATCTTTTATCTTGGATATAGAAAAGGTATCATTCTCTGACTTTCTAAAAAGGAATATTCATATAAAGAATAAATGAAGTTGAGCGATTGTGACAAGTGAACTATGATAAAAGTGGACATTTTGGTATAGAAAGATACAGCTTTGAAAACAGTTTAGACATGAATTAATGACTAAAGCGAACATATCTTTAAACTCCAGTATGGCAGAATGAAGCATGAAGCCAATAAAAGGCAAACTTTTTGGTGAACTTATGAAACATAGCACCCTCAGAAATAATGTAGACTAGAAATAATAAATTTGGAGAAATTTAGATAAACTCATGATTGACAAATATAGAGTGGGTGACTACAGAAAGCTAAGATATCTAGCAATTAATGAATTGTCCCCTTTTTCTATCATAAAATATTCATCCCTTGGTGTCTTTCAGAGACTGACTTTGCGATTAAGCGCATTGTGGCAATTCTTTAATGGAATGGTAGCCAAAGTGGAGGAAGCAGAGTAGGGTAGGATCTAGTAGGCTTTTTTTATTTCTGAGGTTTTCTGTGATGCTGGGGGCAGGGGTGGAGGGTTAAGGGGGTCTGGAATGCAGAAGGAAGCAGAGGTTGAATCTGAATTCTAGAATAGGCTAGAAGAATTCTTATTAAGCAAATTGTAGGCTTCCTAAATAATTTATAGAATTTAGCTATCATAATAAATGAAATTATGAACATGCTGTCTTATAAAAGGTAAATGTTTAGTCTGTAGAAGACAAATTCTCAGGCTCTCTCACTAAGTAAGTGTTTAAGGTCAGAGAACTTTTGTGATAATAAAGCTACTATTTTGTATATGTGAAGAGAGTTATCAGAAAAAGATTATTTTTTTTTTTTTGGACAGAAATGAGCTTTTAAAATTAGATTTCATATAAACTTTTTGCTACAAAAGTTATCTTCAAATGGCATATATAACAATTCTCTCTTAAACAACTTTTATATAAGGATGGAAACAGTTGGATAAATACCAAGAAATACTTTATGAACATTTTTAATTTATCTTTTTTTGATGGTTAGTTTACTTTTGATATTATACAACACATATAGTCCTTTACAGTATTTTAAAAATGTATTAGTGACAGATAGATGGCATTGGCCCCATTCTTGTATTATGGAGAATAATTTACAATTTTAGCAGTGAAATCCAATAGTTTTTCTTTTTTTTTCCTTTTTTTCTTTTTTTTTAATTATTTTATTTTTTAAATTTTTTTGTGAGGAAGATCAGCCCTGAACTAACATCCATGCCAATCCTCCTCTTTTTTTTTGCTGAGGAAGAGTGGCCCTGTGCTAACATCCGTGCCCATCTTCCTACACTTCATATGGGACGCCACCACAGCATGGCCTGACAAACAGTGTGTCGGTGCCTGCCCAGGATCCGAACCTAGGCCACCAGCAGCAGTGCGCGCACTTAACCGCTACACCACGGGGCCGGCCCCTCCAATAGTTTTTCTACTTAAATATAGAAGTATAAAATACTCCCTAGTTAAAGCTTAAAAGTTTTCTTTTTAAAAAGTTTGCTCAGGCAAAACAAAGTAGGGTTTTTCATAACTTTAGATAGTATTTTTTCTAGACAAAAATGTCTGGATAAATATTTTAAATTAGACCTTTAGCCAGTGTGTTGGGGCAGCATCCTTTCCTGGGAGGTCTTGTTTTTGTAAACCAGTCTTGCTTTAAATTGTTCCTGGTTTAGTTCCATGGCTTTGACTCTGAAGTAGTTTACAGTTTATGGATGTTACAAACAACACTGCAGTAAATATTCCTGTGTGTTTTTGTAGTGCTCAGTGTTTTTTTCTGCCTGTAGGATAGATGGTCAAATGGTATGTGAATTTAAATCTTTAAATAGACATTATTACATTGTTAGACTGTTGCAGTTTACACTCTTTTCAGCAAGTATAAAGAGAGGTAGATTTCCTCAAATGCTTGTGATGGATGTTTTCAGTCTTTTAAATTTTATAAATCTGATATTAAAAATAGTATTTTATTTTTAAAATTTGCATTTCTCTATTTGTATAGATAAACATAAATGCCCTGGTTTTTCTGTGGCATTTTTCATCTTTTTCTTATTAATTCTCAGAAGTTCTTTGTATATTACAAATAGTAATCTTGTTTTTTTTTTTTTTTGATGAGGAAGATTAGCCCTGAGCTAACATCTGTTGCCAGTCCTCCTCTTTTTGCTGAGGAGGATTGGCCCTGGGCTAACATCCGTGCCCATCTTCCTCTACTTTATATGTGGGATGCCTGCCACAGCATGGCCTGATTAGCAGTGCGTAGGTCCGCACCCAGGATTGGAACCTTTGAACCCCAAGCCGCTGAAGCGGAGTGCAGGCACTTAACCACTATGCCACTGGGCCGGCCCCAGGAATAGTAATCTTTTATAGGGAGATATATATGTCTTTTTTTAGATGAGTGATTTCTTCCAACATAGTGAATTTCTGCATTCATGAGAGAATGCATTTGTTTTGAAACTTTTCTTTGGAACTGTGAAAGACCTTTCACATTCAGAAGTTGATTTCTACTTTGGACTATCTAGTTTTAGTATGTCTCTAGATGTGTATGTGTGGGTGTATATATATATATTTTAACTTGGAGCATTTGGTCAGCGGATCAGAGGGAGAGATCACAACATTAGAAGCTAGATTTACATTTATGTTACACCTCCGTTTACATTTGAGAGTAGTATCAAGGGGATTTCTGAATGTCTCCATTTAAGGTTGAAGTACATTTCTGCTGTATGGTTTTTAGAAGATGCTTCTTTCTTGTTTTGGATGTGTACCCTTTTTTTTTTTTTTTTTTAAAGATTTTATTTTTTTTTTTTTTCCCCCCAAAGCCCCAGTAGATAGTTGTATGTCATAGCTGCACATCCTTCTAGTTGCTGTATGTGGGACTCGGCCTCAGGATGAACGGAGAAGTGGTGCCTCGATGCGCACCCGGGATCCGAACCCGGGCCACCAGCATTGCAGCGCGCGCACTTAACCACCAAGCCACAGGGCCGGCCCAAGGATGTGTACCCTTTAGTAAATTGATTAAAGAATGGCTTAGCATAGAGCCTCCTGTGATGAACAAGTTAGAAGTGTACCCATCAGCCCTGGGGCAGCTGGTAGGGCCCTTGGCCTTCCTGGGCTTGTCTGGTTACCTTAGTATGCCTTACGGATATGATCCATCCTTTTGTATGAGTGACGTGAAAAAGGTTGGCAAGCGCTGACTTAGTATACTTCTTAACCTCTAAGTGATCTTGATATAGACATGGAAAAATAAAAATTATGAGTGATAATCTAAAATTGAGAAAATGGATTTGCTTTTATTTTGTCACTTGTTTATTTTATTTTTTTTTTTAATTTAAAATTTTTGTTTTTTTGTGAAAGATCAGCCCTGAGCTAACATCTGTTGCCAATCCTGCTCTTTTTTGCCAAGGAAGATTGGCCCTGGGCTAACATTCGTACCCATCTTTCTCTACTTTATATGGGACACCGCCACAGCATGGCTTGATAAGCGGTGCCTATGTCCGCGCCCGGGATCCGAACCTGCAAACCCCAGGCTGCCGAAGCAGAGCACGTGAACTTAACTGCTACACCACTGGGTCGGCCCCTTGTCACTTTTTTTTTTTTTTTAATTTTATTTATTTATTTATTCCCCCCCCCCAAAGCCCCAGTAGATAGTTGTATGTCATAGCTGCACATCCTCCTAGTTGCTGTATGTGGGACGCGGCCTCAGCATGGCCGGAGAAGCAGTGCGTCGGTGCACGCCCGGGATCCGAACCCAGGCCGCCAGCAGCGGAGCGCACACACTTAACCGCTAAGCCATGGGGCTGGCCCCGCTTGTCACTTTTTTATTAACGGTTATTGTAGTATGTTCTCTACTAAGCACCAGCGCTGTCTTAGTGCCTACAAGACTTAGAATTCATTATAAAACAACCGTGTTCTTGGACTTAGGCTACAATTAAGTCTTGTAAGTGGGTTCTTTAACCAATAGATTAGAATACAGTCTTCCCCCACAATTAAATACAGAATGCAATTTATTGCAGTTTGTCTTTTGCTGAATGGTAGATATTTTTTAAAAGCGTACTACCAAATGGAGATTTAATTCACATTTACTAGTTCTTGACAGGTCTTTTCTATTAAAAAATTATATTTTTTGCAGCATTATTCTGGTTCCTAACTTCATTTAATAAATATCTGAGTGCCTTCATGTTCTAGGTACTATATTAAGGACTAAGAATACAGCAGTGAACAAGATTGGCAGAGTCCTGCCCTCATAGAGCAGAAGGAGGGTGGAGGGGTACTGACCAAAATCTGTAAACAGTCTAACATAGTAGTAAATGCCATGACGAAAATAAGATGGAGTTATTTCACGGTGGTAGGGGGAATATGGAGTCTTGTGGTTAGGCTGGCTAGGGAAAGTGTCTCTAAAGAGATCTTTTAGGTGAGACCTTAATGATGTGAAGAGGCCAACTTGCTTGTTTCTAGAGGTTTCCGTCTTCTGGGTGAAGGGAACAGGAAGTTGCAAGTCCTGAGGCGTGAAGCTTGGCATGTTCAGAAAGGAGTTTAGCTTTTATTCTGAGTCTTAAACGGGAGGAACACAATGAGTTGCATTTTGGCTATGCTCTATCTATAGATCATAGGAGCCACATCATTTCAGGCTAGTGAGATACGCAGATGAGTCTTCTCTCTCTCTTTTCATCTTTTCCTCTCTCATCTGGTCCTAAACTCCTTCATCTCTTCCTCTTTAGTTGGGAAAAGGGATCTAGGGAAAAGAGGAGCTGTAGGTGCCCCTAAAAAGTGACCTCGTGGTAACCAAGGGATAGTGTTAGGAGTGTGTCAGGGCTCAGCTTTAGTTGCCAGAGGCGGGGAGGCAGTGTGTCATGGCCCTGCCACTTGAAGGCTGTGGGATCTTGTCCCACCCTTCGTTCTCACAGAGATAAAATAGGCTTATAGGAGTTTAGAGTATAACAGTAAAATATAAAAAGCAAAAAGTAAATAGATAATATATAAAAAGTAAAAATTCCTCACAATCCTGCTGAAATAGTCAGTTAATACTTTATTATTCTAGATTTTCTCACTTCTTTATGATTCTAGATTTTCTTCCTTCTTTCTAGATTAATATAAAAGAGGGTCAAACTATATTTTTCATTTTTTGCTTTGTCGTGGATAGCGTTTTACATCTCTGCACATAAAGATCTACTTCATTTATCACACAGATATTAACATGATTTGTTTAATTCTCTATTGTTAGGTATTTGGTCTTTTTCCTAATTTTTCAAGGATGTGAACAATGCTGTGATGATGCTTGTACGTATCTCTTTACATACTTGCCTTATATTTCTGAAGGATAAAGTCCTAGAGTGGAATTGAATGACTAAATCGATCTTTAGGAACATTTCAAAATTTTAATAATTATTACCACATTCTCCTCCAAAAAGGTCGTGCCAAGACTGTGTGAGAGTAGCACCATGCTGTGATCTTGAGAAATTCTCCAAACCTCTCTGGTTTCCTCAGTTTTCAACTAAGAATAGTTAATATGTATCATCCCCTCTTGATTCAGGCATGTGATATGAGAAAGGGCTTTGCACATAGTGGATATTCAGACAGAAACTTCTGGTTGAAAACAAGAGGTTTGGATTAAATGGTCTTTAATTCTAGGCCATTTCAGTACTGACTAAATGATTTCAAGTGTCAGTGTTATGCATGAGAAGGTAAGGGCTCTGGAGTCAAAGCTGCCCAGTTCTGAATCCCAGCTCTGCCACCTAAAGCTGTGCGAGAATTTTCTCAACTGTAAAAAGGGGGTGTAATTTCTACCTAGAAAATCACTCTAAGGGTTAGGTTGGATTATATGAGTGTGATGTATGCAGTATATACTGCCTCTTAATAGTAGGCACCTAGTAAATGGTAGCTATTATTAATAATAAGACAAAACAAGTTTCTGAAGCAGGAAGGCTTGAGGAGGATGGGATTCTCTGTCACCCTCACTGTTTTATAAAGGAGGAAACCAACCTCTCACTTCTGCTTGGTTGCTGACTCCTGGTCAGTGCCAGAGCATTGCATGTCCTCACTGCAGAGTATCTGACTGACTGTCATTGTGGGACTATCTGTAGACTCATATTGCAGGTTTTTTGTTGCCTGATTAAAACATTTGGTTATTTTTGGTTAGGTGACTGTCTCTGCTTGCTTCTGTTTATACGCTTTGTTTCTTCACCAAAACTGAATGTTGAATGTTATGGGAAAGTTCATGGACTTTAAACAAATATAGAATCTAGTTATGTTACCTATAACCTGGGTGTTCTTGGACAAGTAGCATGATTTTTCTATACCTTATTTGTTTAAAAAATAAAAGGTGGATGGAGGAAGGGATTTAAAATCTTTGGAGTCCTTATTACAAATTAAATGAGATAATTTATATATAAAATGTCTCATACGCATCCTAGAAATACTACTTTTCCTTCCTTGAAGGCACAAAATTATGGCTTACACTTTAAAAAAATTTCTCATAGTACTAACATGTTACTCATTCTCAATAATAGTCACTCATACTTAATATACAATAACCAAAGAAGAGAAATATAATTGAAAACGTATTAGACTAGAAGTCAGGAGACCTGGGCTCATGTTCCAGGTTGGCTTTTAACTGTTGGTATAACCCTTAATGAGTCTTTTGATCTCTAGTCCCCATTTTGCTCATTCTTGAGTTGTCTATAAAATATTTCGTGGAAATATACTAATATAGAAGGTTTCTGATTAATTTATGTAAGCAGAAGGCATCACTTATAAGAAAGTACCGTTTTCATTATTATTCTGTATATTGTGTTGTTGAGTTAATTGCTTTTGTTCTAGAATTACAATTATTTGTCTGTTTTACCAGGTTTAAGTATTGTGTAAGCTGCATCAATGGAGCACATACAGGGGGCCTGGAAGACGATCAGCAATGGTTTTGGATTCAAAGATGCAGTGTTTGATGGCCCTAGCTGCATCTCCCCTACAATAGTTCAGCAGTTTGGCTATCAGCGTCGGGCGTCAGATGATGGCAAACTTACGGACTCTTCTAAGACAAACAGCACTATCCGTGTTTTCTTGCCAAATAAGCAAAGAACAGTGGTACGTGAACTTTCCTTTCCGAAAATTAAGCTGTCCATCTGCCTACAGAAAACATTATAGATCCTATTGCCCACCTTATAGACAGGCAAAATCTTCACTCTCACTTAGAGTCTTTATTAATTGGCTTTTCAGTTGCAGAGTTTGTTGCTTTATATTGCTGTGTTCCTTCCACAACCCCTACTTTTCCCACCCCTTGGCCTTCCTTCTGTTATTAGTCTTGCCTGGAATGTCTTCCTTTCTGCCGCTTCATTCAAACAAATAGTACATTCTTATGGGGATATATTTCAAAAACTTTTCTTTGAAAAGCTCCCTTAGACCTTTCCAGCTAATTAAAAACATTTTTTTATTGTTTTCTTCTGAGTATTAAAGCAAAATGTTCACTTAAGGTGTTTTTGGATATAATTAAGTATAAGGAAGAAAATAAAATTTACTAGAAAAAATTATTTTGATAAATTTCATAGGCCCCAGGCAAAGCTGGAAATAGCTTAGAAATCATAGCATCTTCCTCTTTTCCAGGGCACTGGCACTATTTCTGCGTAGTTTATTTTTCTAGTACCAGCAACAGCTTCATAGTGGCTTCATGGCAGGACACTGCCACTCGGTTTTCTGACACAGAACCCTAACTTTTCTAAGAAATTACTGCTCAAAAAAGTTTCCTGCTATCCTAGAAAAAAACCTACCTGGTTGAAACAGAGAAGTGAAGTTGTACTGATTTTGCTTGGTGGGACATTTGAGAAAACTTTAGTTCAAAACTTCTGTGTGTCCTCCTTTCCCACCCTCCATTCTTTGTGTAAAATCAGTGGGTTGTGTTTAGTCTGTGTATCTAGATGAGGCAAGGTTCTGAGGCAAGTCCAGGCCAGAATTTTCTTATTTGTTTCTAACAGTTCCACTCTCCCTAGTTTACTAACAAATTCCTTTGTACTTGTTTTGTGAACCTAAAGAGCCTCCCAGTTATAGTGTTGTACATTTAGGTAGATTTTGAACTGAAGGCAAACCTCAAAAGGCTTGAGTAAAGTTTGAGTGAATTTATTTTTCTTCCCCTTTCTAAAAATGAAAGTTTAATGGTTGGCAAAATAAATAGTAATAATCCCCTTATATTTCAACAGTGGTCTTTCATTTGTAAAGTGATTTTTTTCCTACTTTTTCTCGTTAATTTTCTTTCTAACCTTAAATGGAGAGCCCAGGTGGGAAGTGTGAATGTGACGGGAAGCTCAAGACCATCTGGTGCTGCCTCTGGGTGTTACTGGAGATATATTCTCCATCCCCATCTACTACCAGTTTGCCTGGAAGACTGGGAGACTTAGTTTGGCATAATGATTAAGTGTATGGACCTTTAAGACAATCAAGCCCCAATTTAAATCCCTGTATTGCCCTTTTTTGTTGTTGTTTTTCAGGATTGGGTGGCTAAAATTTTGTCCACTAACATATACCCTATTTTTATTTTTGTTCACAGTACTGTTTACTTGACCAACATTGACTGACATATTTATGGAAGGATAATTCCAAATTGAATTGAGGCTTTGGCAGTCAACGTGTGGACCTTTTGTGGTTGTGTTTGTGGTGCTGGTGGGCTCCCTGTCTTCCAGAAAAGAGACTCAGTGGAGTTCTGTCCCACTTGAACTAGAAAGTCTCCTAACTAATCTCTCTTCCTTTTTCCAGTTTCTGTAACAGCAGCTGCCACATCACTTTTCCTGAAAAACAGCTCTGAGCATGTTACTTCCCTGTATAGAAAAGTGGTTCCCCAATTTACTTTATGTTAAAAAGTTCAAAATCCAGCACCCATTTATCTTTCCAGCCTTATTTCATGTTCTTCCACTTTATTCATGATCCGCTTCAGCCAAACTGATTTCCTCATTTTTTCCTTGTTGAAGAAATTGTTCATGTACAGCTACTGATGATCATTTTACCTCTTCCCCTGCCTCCATATTTACCTGGCCCTAGTTCCCACAGCTGGCAGTAATCTCTCTTTTGAATGCCCATAACCCTTTACATCTATCTTTCTTACAGCACTTATCATTTCCACTTATATTCTGGTAGTTGTGAATATATCTTACTTCCCCATTTCCTAAAAGGCTCTTGAGGGAGGATTTATTATTCATGTTAGAGCCCTCACAGTGTCATCCTGAGAGTTCATGTTGGATTGTCTTTTTTTTTTTTTTTCAATTTATTTAAACTAAACAAAAACAAAAACAGTCTACTCATTTCTCCCATCTCATCACCCCGCTGCCCTGGCAGCCACCAGTCTGTTTTCTGTATCTATGAGCTTGGTTGTGGGTTTTTTTTTTAAGATTGCACATATACGAGAGATCATATGATATTTGTCTTTCTCTGTCTGACTTATTTTGCTTAGCATAATGTCCTCGAGGTCCATCTATGTTATCGCAAGTGAAAAGATTTCAGTCTTTTTTATGGCTAATGTTCCATTATGTATATACACCACAATTTCTTTATCCACTCATACATCGATGGACACTTAGGTTGTTTCCGTATCTTGGCTCTTGTAAATAATGCTGCAGTGAACATAGGGGTGCATATATCTTTTTGAGTTGGTGTTTTCATTTTCTTTGGATAAATGCCCAGAAGTGAAATAGCTGGATCATATAGTAGTTCTATTTTTAGTTTTTTGGGGAACCTCCATACTGCTTTCCATAGTGGCTGCACCAGTTTACATTCCCACCAACAGTGCACAAGGGTTTCCTTTTCTCCACATCCTCACCAACACTTGTTATTTCTTGTCATTTTGATAATAGCCATTCTCACAGGTGTGAGGTGGTATCTCATTGTGGTTTTTTTGTGTGTGTGAGGAAGATTAGCCCTGAGCTAACATCTGTTGCCAATCCTCCTCTTTTTGCTGAGGAAGATTGGCCCTGAGCTAACATCTGTGCCCATCTTTCTCTATTTTATGTGGGACACCTGCCACAGCATGGCTCTATAAGCACTGCATAGGTCGGCACCTGGGATCCAAACCTGCAAACCCCGGGCCGCCAAAGCAGTGTGAACTTAACTGCTATGCCACCGGGCTGGCCCCTTGTGTTTTGATTTGCATTTCCTGATGGTTAATAATGTTCAGTATCTTTTCGTGTACCTGTTAGCCATGTGTATGTCTTCTTTGGAAAAATGTCTGAATAGATCTTCTGCCCATTTTTGTGTGTGTCTGAGGAAGATCAGCCCTGAGCTAGCATCCGATGCCAATCCTCCTCTTTTTTGCTGAGAAAGATTGGCCCTGGGCTAACATCCGTGTCCATCTTTCTCTGCTTTATATGGGATGCCGCCACAGGATGGCCTGAAGAGCAGTGTGTCAGTGCGTGCTAGGGATCCGAACCTGCGAACCCTCAGGCCGCTGAAGCAGAGCGTGTACACTTAACCGCTCTGCCACCACTGCCCATTTTTTAATCAGATTTTCTTTTTGCTATTTGAGTTGTATGAGTTCTTTATATATTTTGGTTATTAGCCCCTTATCACATATGTGACTTATATTTTCTCCCATTCTGTAGGTTGCCTTTTCATTTTTTTGGTGTTTTCCTTTTTTGTGCAGAAGCTTTTTAGTGTGATGTAGTCCCACTTGTTTATTTTTGCTTTTGTTGCTTTGTGTATTGCCTTTTTATTATTTATTTATTTATTTATTGGTGAGGAGGACTGGCCCTGGGCTAACATCCATGCCCATCTTCCTCCACTTTATATAGAACGCCACCACAGCATGGCTTGACAAGCGGTGCGTTGGTGCACACCCAGGATCCGAACCTGCGAACCCCGGGCCGCCACAGTGGAGCGCGCGCACTTAACCGCTTGTGCCACCGGTTCGGCCCCTGTATTGCCTTTTATTAGCTGTATCATCTAGACAAGTCACGTAATATTTTGAACCCCTGTTTCTTGACCTTTATGAAATGAGGCTCATGCTGAATACAGTGGCTAATTCATAAGTAAAAAGGTAGCTATGATTATTTCTGAGTTTGTCTACATCTGTGTAGTCTTTGACAGCCTTCATTTGAGCACAGCTGGTGCTTGGGAACTAGTGATTTGGAAGCTTGACTTCTACAGCTTATGAGAAGGTTCTAGCAGAGAAAGTTCATTTCTCCTATTTATTTGACCAGAGATGGACCATCTAGCCCTGGAAGAACCAGCTTCTTTCACCAGGCACCCAGCTTCGGGGGAGCACTGAAGGAGGAAGGAGTCACTTGCTAGCCAGCACCATCAATCAGCTGTTTCTTTTTGTTGTTGTTGTTGGTTTTTTTTTGTGTGTGTGTGAGGAAGATCAGCCCTGAGCTAACATCTATTGCCAGTCCTCCTCCTTTTTTTCCCCAAAGCCCCAGTAGATAGTTGTACGTCATAGTTGCACAACCTTCTAGTTGCTGTATGTGGGACACCGCCTCAGCATGGCCGGACAAGCAGTGAGTCAGTGCGCACCTGGGATCTGAACCCGGGCCGCCAGTATCGGAGCTCGAGCACTTAACTGCTAAGCCACGGGGCCGGCCCCTCAGCTGTTTCTAATTATTCTCAGGTTGTTTCACTTTTGGAACCCAGAATGATTTCCATAATCACTTAATGGGCTCCAGAAATTAGATTTAACTGATTTCAGCATGTATCCGTGGGGAGTTATAGAGAAGAGTGACAGAGAGGATGTATATCTGATCTAAATAATTTTAGAAGTAATAATTAGTAGTTGGTTGTTTTTTAAATTTTTATTGTCATTTGTTTTGTTAACATGTGTCTCTGACTAACTGTTGCTGCTTCATTTTGTTTTTATTGGATGAGTGATTGGACTGTAGCTGAGGACCGTTAATTACCATTAGAATCACCTGACAAGTTAAAATACAGATTCCTGGGCTTCATTCACGATGAACTGAATCAGAATCCTTAGATTTGTTGGAGGCTGGAAATGTGTATTTTCACAAGCTCCTCAGAGGATTCTAATGCCAGCCACATTTGGAAGCCCCACTGGATCAGAGGATATTTAAAGAGCTGTCTAGTTCTCAGAGTCTGTGACTTTTAATGAAGATTAATGATATAACACAGCTATCACTTTACAGGTTTCAAAGCACTACTTACTGCACAGTATTTGATGCAGGTCATGATTCTGTTAGGGTGTGTATAATTATTACTCTTCATTGTCCCCATTCTGGTATCCTATCTTCATAGTTCTGATCAGTATATCTCACTTGACTTAGTTGCTTTGTTTTTGAAAAGCTGGAAGTTAGTGTGATCTTGCTAAGGGTATTTCTGCTTCAAGAAACCTTTAAAATAAACTTGTTATGGAACATTGTAAATGAATATTTAAGAATATTTTAAACCTTTAAAATAGACACAAACATACACTCACCTCCCTCTGGGAAGGGGCTGGGTTGGCTACTGTCAGCTGTCACGCTTTCACACAGTGGAGGAACTCGACTGTAGGCAGTTCCCAAGCCCCGCACATCTACATTCCTCTCTCCTTACTGACCATACTGACTCTAGTTGCTTTACTTTTGATTAACTTTTTGGCTGTAAAAACAAAATGTATAGGGCTTTTATCAAAACCCTTAGGATCTTAGTTGACATTTTTATATAGCTGCTATAATTAGTACTCTTGGCACTCATACTTCCTACTAGGCCTCTGAGTGCCTGCCCAGCTTTTGAGGATTAGGTACAGGGGAATGTGGAGGGGCGTTTACTGCTAAGGCTACCTAGAATGGTGTGTATTTATTTAAACTAGCAGTGGTGTTTGTCATTATAGTAGGACAGAAGCTCTATTTCCTCCACTTCCTGCTTGTCCTCACTAGTGTGAAGTGCATGTGAGTTGGAATTTTTGTTAGGAAGATCAACCATTTTGTTGAAAGTAGGTTGAAATGCAGATTTTTGATCAGAAAAACTAATGTTTGTAGATTAGATTGGCTTATTTTCCTTCCTGGTGGATGTTCATGCTCACATGCACATTTCGGTGAGTCAAACAAATTAAAGATGTATAAAGGAAAAGTTGATCATTTTATCTGTCTCAACCAGTCTCTCCTGATGTTCACAGATAGCTGTATATCTTTTCACACTCACATAACATATAAAAACATATACAGGTTTCTCACCCTTTAAATAATCTTGCTCTTTGTATTATTCTGAAAAATATTTTCCCCCAATTAACATATCATGGACACCCCTCCCTCCAGGTCACAATAAGTAATATAGTAATGGCATAATGTGATATATATGGATGTTCCATATTTTATTTAAGCACTCACCTATTGCTGGACATTCTGGTTGTTTCCTGTGTGTGTGTTTACCATTACAAGCAGTGCTGTCATAAACCTTCTTCTGCATACACCCTTACAGACTGCTGCATTTACTTCTATGCTCATCTTTCCAAAGTGTTTGCAGCCTGTGTTGTTCCTAAAGGTGGTCCTTTGTTTGTAGGTCAATGTGCGAAATGGAATGAGCTTGCATGACTGCCTTATGAAAGCACTCAAGGTGAGGGGCCTGCAGCCGGAGTGCTGTGCAGTGTTCAGACTTCTCCAGGAACACAAAGGGTAAGAACTCAAAAGTCAATCAGCTCTTCCTTCATACCAGTAAGGATCTCCTAGCTTCAAATAGTAACTTTCCATTTAAAAAAATTCTGCTAGTTTCCTATAGAATATTGTGTATTTGTGTACGCTTGTTTATAAAGAGACAATTCAGAAAAATAAAATACTAAGAACTTGAAATTATTGCTTGAATATAACGTTGAAAAATAAAATAAATGTTAGATGTTGATAGGGTTTCCACAGATGGAAACAGTAATGTCAGATGCTATGTTTCTTGAGAGCAAAGATTTTTGTGTTTGCTATACTAGAGTGCACAGAGTGGGTACCTAGAAAGTGTTTGCATTATTGTTTATAGTTAAAGAATGTTATCTCTAGAGATTGACTTTCTTGTAATTTACTCATTTTTTATTTAGTTCGTGTTTACTGAATCCCTGCAGTTTGATAGACACAGGGCTAAAAGATGCAGGAGAATTTCTGCTTCAAGGAAGATCCATAGTTTGTCCTATTTCTGATGGTGGCAAAATAGAGGCATTCCCTCAAAGGTTAGGAATATTACCCCATAGCATCAGAGCTGTCATAATTATCCATTATCTTTTATCCCCCCCAAATCTGGGGAAATAACCTTAACTTTACCTTCTTCTTGGAAAGTGCTAGTTCTGTTATTGATCTTCAGCTTACATTTTTTATGTTTCAAGGAGTTCCCCAGTTTGAGAGGATAGCCTAGAGAATGAGTCTACTCAAAAGGGTGAGAATAAATTCCTCTACTAATGTTATTCCTCTCAGCTTAGGCGGCAGTTTGTTGAAGTGCAAATCTTTGAAGCAGATGTCAGCTATATCTGGGTATAGCCGCAGGTTGGTCCCCAAGCCAATCTATAGTGCTCCTTAATGACTAGAAAGATTCTGAGACAGTGAGAGGCTTGGTCCACTCTCATCCAAGGCTGCATTGGTTTGGAGCTACCCTAGATTCTCTCTTAGACAGCACCTGAAGACTGATCAGAAAATAGGGCTGCCCCTCTCTCTCTTCATTAGAAGGCAAAACAGGACTTTGTAGTGACATGGAGTTTCCCAGACCTTGTATAGGGAATTATATTAAGGGATGGATTTTTTACCATTGGGTCACCAGAAAAATGGCTGTAATCGGCTTCTGGTGAAGGGAGAGGTTTGAATGGTGCTGTATCTGTGTTCTCTCCCTACCTGAGAATACTCCTCCTTCAAGAGATGGGCTGGATTAACTAGACAAGACCTGAGAAAGGAGCTGGGCATTAATTTTTACTTAAATGTATCTGTTTTTCTGTCGTTTACTCTAGGCTTAGAAAGAGTGGTCTCAGAGTAAATTTTAAGACAGTTAAGTCTCCCATCAACTTATATTTATAGCCCCTGCAAACAACTCTACAGATTTGAGCCTATTATTAATAGAAAAGTGCATTTCATTTGTGATTTCCTTTGTATTTATGTATTTTCTAGATTGAAGTAAGCTAGTAAAGATTAAATTTTGCTTCTGTAGCAATATTTATAACCCATTTTATAGTATTTTAGGATTTTTATAAGATTTTAATGTCACAAAGTCCACTTTATTGCATATTTACTCTATCGTGAGATTGTTATATTTCACTTTATTCTAAGAGCATAAGCTTTGGCATCCAACTGACCTAGATTCCAACATAGGCCATTAGACTCGCTGTATAGCCTTGAACAAGTTACCTTCTTAGGGCCCCAGTTTTCTCATTTTTAAGATGAGGATAATAATGCCTACTTCATAGGTTTGTTGTATAAATTAAATAAGTTAGTGTTGTATGGGATTAATTTTATGTTTATATAGCACGAGATAAATGGTAGCTGTTATTATTGGTATTAAACTCTTACTTTGTTTAAACATTTCTCTTTCATATTATGTTTTTAAAAATCCCCTTTAGTAAAAAAGCACGCTTAGATTGGAATACTGATGCTGCCTCATTGATTGGAGAAGAACTTCAAGTAGATTTCCTGGATCATGTTCCCCTCACAACACACAACTTTGTAAGTTACAGGTCTCCTCTCTCTTTATGGCACGTTGGGTGCTTTGGCTAGCATAATAGGAATTTCTCAGAGCTAATAAGCATATATATTGTTGGATTGTTTAAAGCTCTAATTATGCTATTGTTTACAATAAGGCAATTTAGGTTTCATTAGTCACAGATGTACTTTAATTTCTAGGTATGAATTTTACAGATGTTAGAAGTATGATTCTTCATTCTATAAAACCTATGGGGGCTAAGAAGGAAATTATTTTGTCCTTTGTTATTTTTCCTTTATTTCAGCATAATTTATACCTGTGTTCTTGTTGTTCCAGGCTCGGAAGACCTTCCTGAAGCTTGCCTTCTGTGACATCTGTCAGAAGTTCCTGCTAAATGGATTTCGATGTCAGACTTGTGGCTACAAATTTCACGAGCACTGTAGCACCAAAGTACCTACTATGTGTGTGGACTGGAGTAATATCAGACAACTCTTGTAAGGCATCATTGTTTCTTCAAAGAATATAAGGGGGCGGGGAAGTGTAAACTCTTTGAGGGTACTTGTATATTTGACTGACAAGTCTGGGTTTTAGACTTGTTAAATGAATTGTGATCTGGAAACCATCGACTTTAGAAACATGACATTTCTGAGACTAGTGAGTTTTAGTGTGGCATAACTCTCTAAAATGAGCAGGCAGGACTATTATCTGTCAAACATGGATTGATTTTCACTTGATTCAGTAACAAAAAAACAAAGTGATGTGAAAACCAGGAAGACTTTTTGGCTTTTCTCTCTCTTTTTTTTTTTTTGTGAGGAGATCAGCCCTGTGCTAACATCCGCCAATCCTCCTCTTTTTTTTGCCAAGGAAGACGGCCCTGGGCTAACATCCGTGCCCATCCTCCTCCACTTTATATGGGATGCCGCCACAGCATGGCTTGCCAAAGCAGTGCGTTGGTGCGCGCCCGGGATCCGAACCAGCGAACCCCGGGCCGCCGCAGCGGAGCGCGCGCACCCAACCGCTTGTGCCACCGGGCCGGCTCCTTGGCTTTTCTCTCTTAACAGTGTTGTCTACTAGGTTGCTAGTAGACACTACTCTGTATTTTGTTAAATATGCTGAATAGACCTTTGACATTGAGAAGGAGCAGAAAGCATACATAGTTGGTGCTATTTTCTTCACCTCAAACTGGAGAAAACGTTAGTCTTGAAACGATTTGAATAAATTCAAAAGACACTTGTATCCCTCAGGAGACAAACCAGTTACTAAAATATATTTCATATAGACAAAATATTTTTTAGTAAGGTTTAAATAGAAAGTACATATTCCAAAGTGCCTTTAAAAAATTGTTAACAGGGATATGAAAAGTCAAACTTGAAGTTTTATCTTTTTTTGAAGGCACTAGAAAAACTAAGGGAGTGTAATCATGAAACCACAATGGAACATCTTTTTCTTTCCTGGTAGTCACATGTTGCTTTTGCAGAGAGAGTGTGTGTAGCATAAGTGGCTGGCTTTGGAGTCCAGCAGACATAGGTCAAAATCTCAGTGTTGTCATTAATTAACTGTACCACCTCTGAGCCTCAGTTCACTCATCTGAGAAAAGGTATATTATCTTCTTTGCGTTGTTCTTATGAGGATTAACTGAAATAACACGTGAAATTGCTCAGTGCAAGTGCTCATCTTGTGGAAAGAAGACCCCCAATTAATGTTAATATCTCTTTTCCTCTTATTTATGCCTTCTGGTGCTGAATGTGACTTATTCTTCATATTTCAGTCTTTTCATCTATGCATTTCCTAGGCAGAATGTTTCCAAGAAAGCTGTATGTGGTTTAGGTTATAAAGTACGCTACTGTGGTTTTAAAAAACATTTTGATATAACTGGACTTTGGACCAGTATTTCTTAGAAATGCACACTAGAGTCTGTATGTTTATTGGCAGGTCAATATTGTTCACATTCTGTAGTCATTCAACCTAGCCATTTGGGTTGCTGGTCCCTTTACTCTGGGTAGCCTGAAATGGTTGGGGAAAATGTGACTAGGAAAAGTTCAGTTTGAGTAGCAGTAAGTTTGCAAGGCAAGACAGGCTGTCTCTGTGAAATTACTGCAAGTCTGTAAACCAGTCTTTTCTCTGATTTCATTTAGATTGTTTCCAAATTCCACTATTGGTGATAGTGGAGTCCCAGCACTGCCTTCTTTGACAATGCGTCGGATGCGAGAGTCTGTTTCCCGGATGCCTGTTAGGTAATTTTTTTATCTACAGCTTTTCTTTTGGAAAGTTATATTGGAAGGGGGATTGAAAGCTTGAATACAAAAGACATGAGTTCCTTTGCATTTCCTCCTCTCTCTGTATAAACCCCTTGCTACTTCTGTGGAACTTAATGTTGGTGTTAGAATAAAATGTAGAACTTTCTCTTTGTGGTCCTGTAGTTCTTACATTCTGGAAAGTGACTCTGACTACAATTTCTTCTATTATCATAGCATGCCCCTTAGTATCTCCTCACATTTTAAAGATCTTGAGGATTTGCCTTCCTCAGTATGTAGTGAGTTGAGCCTCAGGGAAAGGGTCCCAAAACTGTATACAGTGATTCAATAAAAATAAAATCCTCAACTTTGAAATGCTTATTATGGTCTTGCATTGCTAAAACCATGGTATTTAATAGACTGCTATCTTAAAAAAAAAGAATCTAATTAGATTTTTAGTATAAATATCCTTTCTAGTGTGCCTGTGAATTTACACATAACTTGTCTTTACTCTGTTTTTCAGATTTAAAATGAGTTTCGTTGAGTTCACATGTCTCGCTCACGTCTTGCTCAGTGTTACACATGAATTTGGAACCTAAAATAAAATCTACATCTTTGTCCAAAATATCTGACTTTAATGTATATATAATTGTATAATATCTAATGGCCTTTGTAAAACTAGCATGGAAAGCAGCATATCTCAGAACAGGGAATTTGTATTGAAATGATATCTGGATATATATTTGTGTATGGTTTTATTTCCTTGATGATTTGAAAAGCAAGTCTGACCAAAAAACTGTACTTGCTTCTGAAGGTTTCTTCTTAGGCCTCTGAAGGCATAAACATTGAATTACCTGAGAAGGCAATTTTTCAAGGCAGTAGAGCAATTTGTCTTAGAACGACTCGCCTCTACCCCTTGAATTCATGCATGGTGTTAGTTGAATCTGAACAAAACTCAAAGTAATCTTTAGAGCTTATAATGAAAATGTTATACTTAATGCCTGTTCCCAGTTTGCTTGGTGGTGGAGTGGGGTTGGCTGAGAGAGGCCAGTGGTTAATTTCAGTTGGTATTGCAACCTAAAAACTGAGTTCACATTAATTGACTTCGTGAGTGGGTTATGGGGGGAGAGGATGCACAGGGGATAAATGCTGGCCGTTTTGCAGACATGCTCAGCAGGTCCAACCATCTGTTAAAATATCTTGCTTAGAGTTCTCTAATTTAGTCTCTAAATTTTTATTTTATTTATTTATTTATTTATTTATTTATTCATTCATTCATTCATTCATTTATTTATTTATTGTGAGGAAGATCAGCCTTGAGCTAACATCCGCAGCCTTGAGCTAACATCTGATGCCAATCTTCCTCTTTTTGCTGAGGAAGATTGGCCCTGGGCTAAAATTCGTGCCCATCTTCCTCTACTTTATATGGGACGCCGCCACAGCACGGCCTGACAAGCTGTGCATCGGTGCGCGCCCGGGATCCGAACCGGTGAATCCCGGGCCACCGCAGCGGAGCGTGCACACTTAACCGCTTGTACCACCAGGCCAGCCCCCTCTAAATTTTAAAGATTTTATTTATTTATTTTTCCCCAAAGCCCCAGTACATAGTTGTCTGTCATAGCTGCACATCCTTCTAGTTGCTGTATGTGGGACGCGGCCTCAGCATGGCTGGAGGAGCGGTGCCTCGGTGCGCACCCGGGATCCGAACCCGGGCCGCCGGCAGCGGAGCGCACGCACTTAACCACCAAGCCACGGGGCCGGCCCATCCCCCTCTAAATTTTAAACTGGGCAGGTTCCAACTAGTTTACTGGGTGGTAGTGTGGTTAGTAAATGCTAATCTGTTCTTTGCCAGAGATAGTCTAAGAATTCGGAGTGTTCTGTAAAGATGATTTATTAAAAAGAAAACTTATGTATTGTTCATTTCATTTGAATTCTAAGCACATATATTATTTCCTTTTCAAAAATTTGCATGCAAAAGCACCTAGACAGAAGATTTTTTTTTTTTGCTGAGGAAGATTCGCCCCTGAGCTAACATCTGTTGCCAATCTTCCTATTTTTGCTGAGGAAGATTCTCCCTGAGTTAATGTCTATTGCCAGTCTGCTTCTGTTTTGTATGTGAGCTGCCATCACAGCATGGCCACTGATAGACGAGTAATGTAGGTCCGTGCCCAGGAACTGAACCCAGGCCGCTGAAGTGGAGCCTGCCAAACTTAACCACTAGGCCACTGGGGCTGGCCTAGAAGAAAATTTTTAAATGGTGCCTATTGAAAGAAAGGAACATTTTGTCAAAGATTGTAGTACAAGTAGAGTTTGCCCCTGAGTATCTTAATGCAGTAGTTGGTTGAAAGACTTTATCATGGGGAGACCTGAGTGTCAGTCATGGAATTTTCTTTCTCTTCCTTGCCTAGTTCCCAGCACAGATACTCCACACCCCATGCCTTCACATTCAACACCTCCAGCCCCTCCTCTGAAGGTTCCCTCTCCCAGAGGCAGAGGTCAACATCCACACCTAATGTCCACATGGTCAGCACCACGCTGCCTGTGGACAGCAGGATGATTGAGGTAATAGGGCCCCTCGGGGGTGGTGATGAGTATTACTCCGTTATTCGGGTGGGATTGACTGTTGTGTCAGAGAGTTTTGGGTTTCAAACCTGATAAGGAATGTTGCAGCACTTTCTCGGGTGCCTGTACTTTTTGAGTTTCTTTTTTATTCACTGCATCTTTAGACTGGTTGAATAATCTGGTTGGTATATCATTCTAGTGAAGAACTAACATTTCCTGAAGAAATGTTAATGTTTGAACTCATTCTTTCAATGTCAGATTTGAATAGGATTTTAGTGAGCTAGTGAATAACATACATAAAGAGTAGTTTTATTTTGGTGTGGGAAAGAAAATAATAGTGATGGAGAACTACAAACTCTCTGAAAGACTTTAAATGATTTTATTTAGAAATAAAAGGGTAGAGTCATAGGATTTTTTTTTTTTTTTTT